CATAACCTGACCTAACCTAACTTTACCGAACTGCCTCCCAAAATCAGTTTCAGCAGAAACCAAAAGAAAGCAGAAACTGATTTTGGGAGGCGGTTAGGTGAAGTTATGTTATTTGTCTGGATGGTAGTGATGTAGTTCCTTTTCTCTTCAACTAACGTGATTAACTAACTTTTCATCACAAGACAAAGAAAAATGGGTAATGAGATAACAGGAAAGTACCGCAATTTCACCTCTTGCAATTCAATGGTTGAATTTGCTGGGAGTTCAACTCTCAATTTGACTTCTGCTGCACACTTTGATCTGTGAAGAGACATGAAACGTCAACTACCATGCAGAAAACATGCCATTTCACTTTGTCTTGCAATTTGACTGCCTTGCAATTCAACCTTAGTCCAGCAATGGATTATAGGGTCAAATTGCAAGGTACCATTGTGTACCAAGAACTATGTTGCAGGCAATGTCTTTGTCAAAAGAGCATCCACCTGTGTGGTGTTTTAGCCCCTGACCAATACCCAGAATATTTATAGAAATTTATTCTAAAGAAAATTTGGCTATGACAAATTTAGCTCTACATCAATCTTGTCTACAGCCATTTTCTTTATATAATGATTTTTTGTGTGCCCCAAAAGGTTCTCACCCCATATTATAGGGGTTCTATGCAGTGAAATTCTCTCAAAAATTGTTTTTTTTAATTTTGCTGTAGGGAAAGTCCACCTGTGCATTAAAAAAAATAATTGGATGTTTCAATTGAATTTTATTTCTTCCCATTTCATAATGAATCTATATATAACATGTTCCAAGGATAATGTGCACAAAAAGTTATGAACATTTTCAAGAAAAGTATTGGCTGCAGGAAAGATGACTTATTTCACTGCATATTTTGATTCCAAATTTTAGGAAAATAAGTACACTTGAGTGAATATAGTACACAAAAAATGTTATTACACAGGAGGACTTTTTCATCACTGTTCAAGGGACCATAAAAAAATCTGTATAAAAAGAATATTGTTGGAGAGAGTCAACTTGTATAACAAAATGTGTTGCATAACTTATATGCATCTAAGTACCCTGAGCATTTATTCCCCAAGACATGATATACTCAGGTAAAAATAGTTTCTTGTGATTTTTTTTTTACAGAGAAAATCATTCAAGCGACCAGAAAAAAATATCTACACAGAAAATTTTGTGGCAGTGAACCCCTATAACATGGGTTGCAAACCCTATGGAACTCCCCCACCCCAAAAAAAAAATGTTATTCAGAGAAAATCATTGTATAGATTCATCTACCTGTTACAAATTATTGCTTACAACAAAGTCACTTTAGGTCCCTGCCCACTATATAGACACCATATCACTTGAATTGCTCAATAACAAAAAAAATTATAAACGCTTCTTCATGCTGCTGGTTTCAATGTCTTTCTTGTACAGTAAAAATGTGTATATACTGTAGCAGTGAAACAGATGAATGCACATTTACTTTTCCTTTTCTTTTTTTTTCAGGAGGGGCTTTTGTGCGTGGAACCCAGTGGGTACCCGGTGAAAAGGATTGGGTAACCCTGGTGGCGCGTTATGCTTCTGATCTTCCCACCCATTCATCCCGAGGGTCTGCAAGCATCAGCAGAAGACGGGAGTTGACGGAAGTCTCCCATGCGGTTTCATCGCCATTCCCCATGACAAGGTGCAGCGCTTTAAAGAAGTGCCTGCTGACGAATGAACCCCTTGACGACGGGTTCAAGTGGATCACGTGATGATATGGGGAGGGGAAAGCGAGGAGGAAATTAGGCGAGAGACGCGAAACATACGGTGGAGTCGTTCATGATTTTCGCTGTTCATTTGTTTTTGGAGGGTCTGAATAATATTGGATTGAATCCTGCTTAGAAATTCCCGGAAGATGGTGGCAATGAAAACATTACAGAAAAATCTTCTTACAGCAAACTTTTGGGGAATTCATAAATTTTTTTTATAATGAATAATTTTTTATAATGAGATTTTAAAAATTGTTTGGTTGACTGGAAGATTTTCTTCAAATTTAGACCTGTAAACATTCAATATCTTCCTTTTGGGGCCTTTTCTGATGTTTTTAATTGTTTAAAAAATTAATCTTTGATTAGAGATTTAATTGTTGATTTAAAAACATTTACTCAGAATAACAGGTAAATATACTTGTACTTTTTCTTGACTCTTACATTTTTCTATTCCTGCAAAGATTTGTAAGGGTGGTATGTTTCAAAATTGCTTACAATTTTTATATCACAAGGGTTTCTCAAGCATACAAACCCCTTTAAACATACATTTTGCTGGATTAATTTTTTTCATCTTACTGTAACCATTTTTTTCTCTCATTTTTTTTTTCAAGACGACAGCACTTCAGTACAAAAGCAGATTTGATTAAAGGAAAGTCCATTTTTTTCAGAAGTTTTTTCATCATTTCATCAGGAATACTCATTAATTATGAGAGATTTTGAATTATTTCTTTTGGAAGCACTTTACAGCATTTATTGCTCATTTCTCACACACCAGTTTTTGGTCTGAAATGTGTTGAAAAGCATGGATCTCAATACAGCAATTTATTCTTCCAACAAATTTTTCATCAGATCCCTGGAAATTTATTGTAATGAGATTTTACTGCATATAATTTTTTTTTATTTGCGAAATATTTTCTTACTTTAAAATATGGCTGGGTTTTGGCTATTGTTCAATGCCAATATTTTATTTGCAGCATGAACAACTGCTTATTTTACCGTACTTCAAGCCAAATTCGAAGGTCTATACTGTACTCCAAATGTGAAAATTGTCCCGTTTTAATAAATACATAATCATGTAAAATAGAGATTCCTGAGCGATTGTTCGTGATTTCAAACGCAACTCCCGAAAAATACACAGCAGTACTTCAGTACTGAGTATAATGGACGCCAATTTGCTCGTCAACACGCAGCAGCAGTAGCAGCAGCTGTTATTCATATTCGCTTCTCCTGTCCTTCAGCAAGGCCGAGCAAAAAAAAAAAGTTTTACACTATACAGTACAGTGCAGTTTCAATAGTTTGCTTTCTTCTTTTCCTTCGCGTTGCTGACGCAGAAACGAAGGAAACGAGCATTTGGCGACACGCGGAAATGCAGATGCGTTTCAGCAGCTAATACAGTATGTATCAGCGAACAAAGGCAGTCCTTTGTACACATGCGGCGGCCCGAAAAGTCACGCGCGATTTTGCGTCAATTTGGTGCCACAGACGATGGGCAGATGGTTCTGTGCGGAGTCATGGTCGCTATACAATATACGGGCGCACACGTGGGAGCATTTGTTACCACGGTGGTCGCACACGGGTGCTGCTGCTGCTGAGAAAATGGCAGACTAATTTCCTGCAGGCCAGCGTAGGCATGTACTGTATATCTCAGGGCAGCTATTTATAGACGAGGGGTCCTTTGCCGTTCAAGCGTGCTGCCCATCTGCAGGCATGCTGAGAAGACTTGGACATGTCCAGCAGATCCTTATTCAGCTTTAAATGGCTGCAAAACCAGCAGAGAAAGAAGCCTTTTTTGATGCAATCCTCATAGTTTTTGGTCTGAACTTTGCATAAGAATTTATTCCCGCATCATAATAAGACGCAAACCCCAAATATTGCATGGGTGGAAAATAAAGTTTTTTTATAATGAAAGTATAACGTTGAAGAAAATAATCCCATGAATAAATACATAGTATGGAGCATTTTAACTGGCTTTGAGCCAAACAGAACTCTATGATATGCCTTGGGCAGCATCAGCGAGTTCTGGGCTGTCCTGCAGAAAAGTTGGGATTTTTTCAGGGGGAGGGACATTTCAGCTTGACCAAAGGTCACTGCTGCTGAAATTCTCCCAGGTTGCTGAGGTTTAAGTTGGGAAAAATCAGGGTGCAGAAAATCCCATTGTCTCAAGAAATCTCCAATGTTAATCTTATGCTGGGACAAATGCATGGAAAAATGCCACTAATTAAGTGAGGGATTGTTTTGTAGACAAAATTTTCTGCCAGATACTGTTTTACAAAAATATATATGCTTTTTCCCAACTTAGGCCTTGTTTTCATTTGCAAAGCTCACAGGGACAAAACTAGCCGACCTTTTCACCCAAGGGTTGAACAATATTTGCACCTACAAAGTAATCACTAGCTTATTATAGCCCGTACCATGAATTAAAAAATTGTTTGCCTCAAAAATATAGACCAATAAGTTACCAATATTCTACGGGCACCTTGCTTTTCTGCCTTAGATGATGTCAAAAGAAATTTTGCACCTGGTACTTGAGAAAATATGATATTCTGCAGACATTTTATTCTTGACATGGTCAGCACAGCGCTTTTTCATCAAAAACAGTTGGATTTCCTACTATGGAATATTAAGGAACACCAAAAAATTTTTTGCAGAGAACCCATGTAACATGAAGATAGAACGCTAAAGAACTAAAAAAAAAAAGCTTCATACAGAGAATTTTTTTTAGAGGGAGCTCATCTGTTTGTTTTTACCTTTTATAGGAACTATAATATGGAATGGTGCATCTCAGTTTACATTTCCAACAAACCTATCTTTCATTCTCAAGGAGTTTCAAAATGTAAAGTCTGAAATATACTAACTCTTTTTTACAATAAAGACACTGGGATCAGAAAAATAGCTTCCTTATTCTAATGAACAACATGGCATCAGTAATTCTTTCACCACTGGAAGTTGGTCAGGCTGGACCTAAAATGTCTTTGTTCAACGCACTTATTCAAGATATATTTACAATGAGATTTCACTGTATTTTGTGTAGTGCTTAAATTGCATGCAATATTTGAATGAGCAAATGAGGGAGGCGAATATTGGTTAATCATTCCCATTGGTGTTGTCTTCTTGCAGCTTGAATCATATGGGCAAAAATGAGCACATCTGAGGAAGTAACCAAAAATTAATACACAATCTCAATCCCAACTATGGGATGAAAGCTTAGAACCAGCAAGATTTCACCCCACAGTACAGAAATGCAAATCCAAAAAATGCCACAGCAGAAACCCAGAAATTCATTTCACATTTCCTGTTCTTCTGAAACAACAAAAAGCCCCCAAAATAGTTTCCAGATCCTCCTCACTTCTTTCCTTTCTTCTTTTTGCTGTCGTTTCCTTTGGTAGCTTCCACAGGAGACCCCGAAGCTTCAGCCAATTGTTTCTTCAAATCCAACAGTTTCTTCACTTCGGCATCAATCAGAGTCTTGTCAGCTTTACTGGCTTTCAAATCCCTCACAACATTCCCCTGCTTCGTAACAGCCTCAGACAACAGGTTCACGGCAACGGGATCAGTTTTCCTTTCGGGCGTCTTTTCAGATCCTTTCCCAACGTCGCTTCGGTCAGGACTATTTTTCGAAGAAGAAGAAGTTGCAGGCGGCGAAGTATTCTGTGCATCGGCGAGTTGCTTCTTCAAGTCCAACAGCTTCTTGACTTCTGCGTCAATGAGAGACTTCTCCGATTTCTTCGCCTTCAGGTCTCGAACAACGTTGCCCTGCTTGGCGACAGCTTCAGTTAGTTCCTGAACGGTATCAGATGATGGTTTACCAGCTGAATTGGGTTGTTTGGCTGCTTTCGAGTCTCCGGAACCACCTGCTGGAGCCGGGGTTCCAGCGAACCTTTGCCTGAATTCTTCAATCTGCGCAGCTTCGATTTTCTGGAACAATGGCACTGGCTGCGAACGCCAAAAAAAAAAGTTGGTAAATTTCACGTAAACGTCAGAAAATATATACTGTATACAGTTGTATAGTCGATTAAAAATTTAATCATCGAATTTATTATTTTTTCCAAGCCTCATTCTGGGATTTTTTTTTTACGCTTCGGCAGTCGCAATTTTAACTTTTAACTTCTGAACCTTCAGCAAACCTTGGAAGCCATCGACTGAGGAAGGTCTCGGTTTTACTAATTTGAGAGAATTATCGCACTGAGACCAAACGTGATCACGACTCGTTGTTCGAAATAAAATGAAACATTGGAAAACACGGAATGATTCCGACAACACTTTGAGTAAGACAATTGAAAATAAAAAAGAAATGCGATACTATAAATACGATGTGGTGAAATGTGAAACACGAAAAAAAAACCAACAGAAATTATAATCGTGAAGTCATCTCAAAACTTTTTTCTTGTATTCACTGCGACGAAAAAATTAAAAGCGGGATGATCACTTCGTTCAGGTAACGTCAACTTCCCAGAGCCATTTGAAACTCGACTCAATTCCACACGGAGCAAATCAAAATTTCTTACACATCGAGACAAATTGTCGTCATGTTTACGTACCTTGCCAATTTTATGACCGGGTGGAATGCAACAAGTGAACTTTCCGTCAATGCACATCAAATCTTCCGAGGCATTAAGCTGGTTGAAGATTTCTTTCGAAGTGCCAGGCATAAACGGATGCAACATCGAGCCAAGAAGACAAACAATGTTTGCGCAAAATCCTATTAAACTTCCAGCATCTTTCCTGTAAATGAAAAAAAAAAAAACAGTATATGCATGAACCAGTGCAAGAAAGATCGGATATCCTCGGATTTTCAAATACGAGGGTTCTAACAAAAGTTCTCGGAGTAGCGATGAAAATGGCATACAATTGAGCTGAAAAAAATTTATTCTCTAGCCAAAACATATTCTTTGGCACACAAAAAAAATCAGCCCGGTTTGACAATTTTTTAAATTTTTTTCAAAATTCATTTATATAGAGTTTTGTTCTCCACTCAAAAAATGAGGCGCCCTTTTTTTGTTGTAGTGCCTCATTTTTTGAGTGGAGAGCAAAACTCTATATAAATGAATTTTGAAAAAAAATTAAAAAAATTGTCAAACCGGGCTGATTTTTTTTGTGTGCCAAAGAATATGTTTTGGCTAGAGAATAAATTTTTTTCAGCTCAATTGTATGCCATTTTCATCGCAACTCCGAGAACTTCTGTTAGAACCCTCGTAATACATCTGAGAATGTCAGAAAAGCAAGATCTCATTGATAATAGCCAGGTCTGATTTCAAAATTGTTTCCAGACAAAAGAATTTTTAAAATTTTCGGCTATAACAAATTATTCAGTGAAACAAACTTTCCTGAGGTCTCCAAAATTTGGTTGCAATGAGATTTTACTGCATTGTATTTCAACAGTCATCCATAATTTGGTCTTGATCGCATTCAGAAATCTCAAAATTGTTTTGAAATTTTGAAAATGCCTAAGTAAAGAAACCTCGGTTACGGAAGAAATCGCGCCAAATGTAAATACTGTACTGTATCTAGATCAAGTCAGCAAACAAAAAGCTAAAAATTTGTTTTTGAGTCTGCAAAAATTTTATGAAACTTCGCCAGTCTACAGGAATTTATTTTAGAAATTTGCCTATCCGCAAATGAATTTTATGGAACTTTGCTGATCTGCAGACACGAAAAGGTTGGGGAACACTGATCTAGATACTAGACAACCAAGATAAGGTCAAAAATGAGTAATTTTAAAGTTTGGATGAAAATTATTCTTTGATTTTCTCATGCTTTAAAAGTCATAGAATATTCCGCAAATTGATTGACTGAGTTCTTTCTAATTAAATTGTTCCTTTCACAGAAAGTCTCACCTTGAAGGCATTTGTTCTCCCGCCGTTTTCTCCAAATTATTCATAACAAAAATGTTTTCATAAAGTCCCCAAAAAAGTTTTTTTGTAAAAGAAAAAAAAAAAAAAAAAAAAAAACTGTGTCGCAGACTCACCTCATGGCTTCGTCTCCCTTGATGAGCACCCAGGGCTTGGATGCTTGCATCAACTGGTTGCCAACTTTAGAGACTGCCAAAACAACCCTCAAGGCATCTCTCAGCTTCACCTTCTCAAACAAATCCACATACGACTCAAGCAGCTTCTGCACTCTCGCAGCAGCAACAGCATTCTCCTCGCTCAACTCCATCTCCGGCACAACCCCGCCGAAATTCTTCTCCAAAAAGCTCAGCACTCGGTTGATGAAATTCCCCAAATTATTCAGCAACTCGAAATTGGCCCTGGACTGGAGATCTAGCCAGTTGAACACCGAGTCGTGGGTCTCGGGACGCACGGCCATGAGGTAGAAACGCCACAGGTCCGCCGGGAAACCTAATTCTGCTGCCTGATCCCCAAATACGCCCTGGCCACGGCTCTTGGAAAATTTCCCGTCTTCGTAGTTGAGATACTCGGTGGCGCAGAGTCTGTTGACGAGGGTCCAGTTCCGGCGAGTGCCGAGGAGGCATGACGGGAAAATGACCGAGTGGAAAGGGACATTATCTTTGCCCATGAACATGAAGAGTTCCACGTCGTCCGGGTTCTTCCACCACTTCTCCCAATGCTCCGTGTAGCAGTGGGTTATGGATAGATACCCGATCGGAGCGTCGTACCAAACGTAGAATACCTTCAAAGGGTGCAAAAGTTATAGAATACCTTCAGGGGAGAACAAAAAATTTTACAATCGCGCAGAAGTTCACAGAATTAATTTTCACTAAAAATTTTGCAAAATCATTTTAATTTTGCAGTTCAGAAAATGTACAGATGCTCCTAACCGCTAAATCTTTCAAATTTCATCCAGCAGCAGGGAACAACTGAATTTTTTTCAGCTGACATTATGCATGACGGGTTTTTCTTAGAAAAATATTAGAATTGTTGAGGGAAAAGCACATTTGATATTTTGAATATTTTCTTCCTGGTGATATTCCATCATCATGAATGTTTCAAAATATCCGTTTATTCTAAAATTCATTCAAATCATTAAAATTTCGTCAAACAATGTAGAAAAAACGACGAATTGTCTCCCATACGACTCTTTTCATTGCAGCAATATCAAATATTTCACTAAAATTCCAATTGAAAATAAAATTGTATTAATCTATTTAGATGTAAAGGAAGTGAAGGCTTGAAGAAGAGACTCAAGGGAAATTTGGCAGTCAAAGCGTAAAACAAAACAAAAATAACCGGATAACCCATGCGTCAATGGGTTTCCAAAACCAGTTTAAAATCGATTTTTCAGGCGAAGAAAAATCTCAAGACAAGAGAACAGTCGCAAAGCCATTTCAAACCTTGTCAGTGTAATTCTCCATAGGCACGGGGGTACCCCACTTCAAATCCCTCGTGATACACCTGGGTTTCAACCCATCCTTCACCCAGGACTGTGCAATCACTTTCGCGTTTGACGACCATTTGTCGCTCTCCTTGTTCAGCCACTGACCCAACGAGTCTTCCAACTGCGGGGAAAAATAAATTTTAAAAGATCACGTCGTAAAGTACTACAGTATATGTCATCAAAGCCAAACCTCACCTTTGGAAGGTCCAAGAATAAATGCTTGGACGACTTGACTTTCGGCGGAGATCTGCAGATTTTACACCTCGGCGATATGAGCTCGACGGCATTAACAAGATTCCCGCACTTGTCGCATTGATCACCTCGTGCATCGTCAAAGGCGCATTTTGGACACGTGCCTTCGACAAAACGATCCGCTAGAAATCTGCACACACACAAAAAAAAAAAGAACGATGTCAAGAATTGCTCTGCAAACTAAAGTATCCCTTGTTTTCATCATACCTGTTGCAATTTTCGCAATGTAGCTGCTCCATGCTGTCCTCAAGAAGGTACCCGTGCTCGTGCAAATCCCAAAATATTTCCTGCGCCACTCTAGAACAGATGAGATCGCACAGAGTCACAAGAGAAAATAAATTGGCGGAAGTATTGGCAAGATCAAATCGAGTCAATTAAATTTTTTTTCTTGGCAGGGAGATCTTCCTCGCGTGTTTCTATGTATTATGACGTTCTAAATGAAAAACACTTTCAATTACAAGGAAACGTCTCTCCTCAAAACTTGATTAATCTCAAGTATGTAGACTCTCTAGGACAACGTTCCAACAAGAAGATTTAATTCTCATAGCCGGGGTAATTCAAGTGAAAAGACTTCTTGTTCCAAAGTATGATACGTGTTCATTTTGATACTACCTTAACCAATGCCAGACCAACAATGAATATCCATACATACACTCCTTGGTACCTTTATACACTTGAGTGAAACCAGACGCAACTGCGCAACCAAAACAGGGACATTTGAACCAGGGCCAGGGAAATGACCACAAGCCAGACAATTCAAGTGGACGCGCAATGACCTTGTCTGCTTTGGAGCAGCAAGTTGCTAGGCTGGAATTATCTGACGTTCCGGAGCATCAAACACAGAGAGCAATATTGTTAACCTATTGTAGGACGTACCGAATATTACTTAGTGACAACTTCTTCACACCTCGGGCATTCTGCTCGCAATTATTATATCTGTTCCATTTTGACGAAACGGAAATAATTTATCGACATCATACACGAAAAATCGGTTAACGTGCACTCTCAAGAAACAAAGTTTCAATACAGTAAAATTCCGTACAAGAATCACTGATCTTGGTGAAATACGCTATTCAAAAAAATATGGCCCAAAAAAAAAATAAGAGGGATGGAGGGTTCGGAACTAACCGAGTTTGTTGCTCCGTCGTGGTCCTGCCAAAATGATCGAACTCGATCCCGAACCACTCATACACGTCCCTGTGAATCGCATTATACTTGTCGCACACTTCTTTCGGGGTCAAGCCCATTTCCAGGGCCTTGGTTTCCGTCGCTGTCCCGTACTCGTCAGTACCGCAAATGTACAGGGTTCGGTACCCGCGCAGGCGGCAAAAGCGGGCAAAAACGTCCGCGGATAAAACGCAGCCAACGATATTGCCGAGGTGCGGCACGTTGTTGACGTACGGAAGAGCGGAAGTGATGAGCACATTCCTCACGGATTTGTCTTCAGATGGCAGGACTGGATGAGATGGACGGAAGGGTTTCCGAAGACTCGAAGGTCCGAGTTTCCAGGCTTTTCTCGCAGCTTCTATTTCACGGGCATCGACGATCACAGTTTCCTGCGTTTTAAAAACGACATATAGACGTTAAAAAAAAAGAAAGAGATTTCATTGAAAGTGCTCAAACGAGTTTTTAAGAAAGCGTTATTTGTCACTTTTCGACTCTCCTTCAAAATTTACCCTGAGGTCGAACAGACTTCGCCATTATTTTCATCCGTTTCGAATTAATTAAATTACTTTCGTAATCTCGTGTCACGTCATCAGTTATATGGGAACCAAGTTTTAATCTTCGCTCAAAAAAAAGAGAAAAGATCAAATCGTACTGTACCTCAAAATGCGAAAACGAGGAATTCAAAGCATCATAAAACTACAGTATCTATTTTGTAATTTGTAAAGCGAAAATTTTTGTTTCCCGAGGCATTCGTACGGTTGAACCAAAATAACTAAAATACCTTCCTACGTCGAATTTGTTCAAGTCATCGTCTGAATTTCCCTAAAAAGTAGAAACAATGCGTTAAAAAAATTTCCGTAACTAAAACTCTCGAAGGCTTTCCCCCGAAATCAACCGCTCGAATTTTCTGGAAGCCTTTTAGTTAATTTTTTACTGACACGGAAAAGAAGTGAAAGACTACTTGGGCAAATTAACCCTTGTCTCCAACTTCAGCATCCTGTCGACTCATTCAAGAAGCAATTCAAGGCTCAGAACAGGAAGATTACATTTTCGTGTACAGTAATTTATTACAATTTTCTGTAACTCGACTTTTTCGCTGGTCTCTTGTAGTTTGGACTTCATTTAGAAATTGATTCACTCGCCTCATCTTCTGGAGAAGATTCCACTCGCTTTTTGGCAGATTCCTCAGGTTCAGCAGGCTTTTTCTTACTGCTCTCTTTTGATTTCTTCTCCTCCACCTGAAAATGGCACTTCCAGTGGTTAAGAGCTTAAAATGCATGTAAATATCTTATTCAACATACCTTTGCTTTGGATTTCTCATTTTGTTGACCTGATTCTCCTTGAAGTTTCACTAACCGCGCTTTCATTCCCTAGAAACGTTGGGAATGAATTCACAAAATGTTTCGTAGTTCTTCATAAAAAAGGTGCAGATTGCACTAACCTTGACTGCATGAGACTTTTCCATCAACCCTTTCCAGACACCCAGCTTCGGATAATCCAAAGCTAATGCTGGATCACCGAAAGAAGATTCGGCGTCAACCCAGAGGCACAAGTCAGCAATCGAAATATTGTTCTATAATAAATTAGGATCACTGTGGGTCACTTATACAAACAGAAAAGTTATTATTTTCTTTTTTAAACGAATGACTTACACCACTGATATAAGGAGAACACATGTCCTCAGCTCTAGCCAATCCTTTCCTTCGGTCGTTCCTCACTAATCTGGAAATCTCTGAAGCCAGCTGAAAAAGACGCAAAGCATAAATACAGTACTGTAACATTTATTTACCCCAGAAACGAGAATATTTTTAAAAATACAGTACATCATTCGGACGTGAAACAGAACTTACATCCGATTCTTGAAAGATTTTCTTCGGGTCCTGGAAAACTTCATTTTTCGCGGGTCCCAGAAGCACCTGAAGAATCGCCACCGGGTCCCATAGCCCTACATCATCTTCACCAACTAGAAGAACTCCGGCATCTGCAGAAAATTAAAATGTCATTCGTCAAAATCTTCCCGAAAGTCATAAAACGAATATTGTACATCTAGACATTGAAAAATTAGTAATCTAATTGATATGTTGTCACACTTCGTCCATCAGAATGAATGAAAAACGTTCCAGTGCGGGCAGATGTCATTTGCTTTAACCAATTCATTGTTATTTCAATCATTCAATCCACGTCCCGCCAGGTTCTGGGTTCCTACTTCGAACTTTATCAACAAATTCATCACCCATGTCGACGCAAATACGCAAGCAGTCGAAAAAAACGTAGTTACATTACAAAGAAAACTTTTTCATTGCCAAAACATTTTTTGAGAAATTCACAATGACGAAATCGAGAAAACTTTTTCGCAAAATTCTTCACATTTTTCGTCGAACATAAAAAATATAAGCACCCCTCCAGAATTTTCATGCAGAAAATTAAAAATCCATTAATAAGCGAATTTAAGCACATCTTACTTTCCTTGTTCTAACTTTCCAGGAACCCAAAATTTTGCAATAAATTATGGCTTTTTGAAGCAATTTAATGATGTCAAGACAAGTTCAAAAATAGACCATCTGTAACATACATGACGCTCATTGTCAGCCACATATTTCACTTTGATGTTGTACTACTTGAAGAAGAAATAATAGCAACGGTTAGATATTATTTCTAAAAATATTGTATTCTTTTTGATTAACCCCCCCTGAATGAGGATTTGGAAAAAGGGGTGCTTATCTTTATGTGAATCACAGAAATATGCAAATACAGTAAAATCTCATTACAACAAGCTTTATGGGATTTCAGAAAAAGTTTTTTGTACTGAATAATTTGTCAACAAGATTTTTCCAAAATTAATGACAGGAAACAATTTTCATATCATGCCTACATACAGTATAATAAATTAGATCTTGCATTTCTGGCATTCTCACATATTTTATTACTGTTTGAAAAAAAACTGAGTGATCTTCTGAAACATAAAATTAGCTTCAATCATGCATTCCATCAGTTGCACCAATCTTCATTTTGTGAGGATTATGCATGGAACCACTTAGAAGCATTTTTGACATTGATTACAGCTTTCATCAATGCTACAAGTCAGTCACATTTAGGATAAAAATTGTCAGACAGTGCCTGCCTTTGTTAGGAAATTTCTACCTGGAGAATCCATCAAACATTCCTCAAAAAATTTTGTTATACTGGAATTGGAAAGTTTCTTACAATGAGATTGCTTTAAAATGTACTTTATGTGCTTTCTGTTGGGACTTGGGGGGAAAAGTTGGCTGGACTGAAAAATTTGCCATAATTTTATTTGTTGTAATGAGATTTTACAATACAGGTGGTACCTGACAATTTGACCATCCCAAAATTTGATGGTCAAATTTGCAGGGAGGTTGACTCGCAATTTGACCCTTGCCCCCGCAAATTGACCTGCTTTGGCCATTTTTTACATTATATTTTTGAATTTCATGAAGTATCTCACAATTTGACCCTAGTTCGGCAACAGATTAGGGCTGAATTGCGAGGTACCACCTGTACTGTACAAGCACTCCTCTAATTTCTGAGCAGCTAAAATTGAAAAAAATAAATACATAGGGAGCTAACATTTGCGTGAATCCGGGATTCAAAAATACTCACAGGAGAGTAAACTAGCCTGTTCTTCGAGTTCTGCACATTTCGCATCGACACACTTGAGCGGAATTTTCTTGGACGACAACTCCAAGCCCGCGAGCACTTTTAAAGCATCGGCACTCAGCGGCTTTGTCACGTACAACGTCATTTTTTCGCGTCACACTTTCTAAAACCTCGGAAGAACAATTGAAAACAAGCTTCAAGCGAACCGAATATTCCTCACACGTCAAACACGAACCCCTTGATGATACCAATGAGTTTTTCACGCTAACTAAAGCAGCAAAAGTTTTGATTGCGTTCATGGACAGTCAATGCCAGTTTTTTTTCTCTCGATACAAAATTATTGACAACACAGGGGAAAAAAGCTTACAGTATTAGGAAAATGACGCACGGATCTTAATAGAGCATCAAATCTATGTTTCGTCCCACGAAAAAAAAGACATATTCCCGCGTCAAATACGTAAAAAAACGGAGAGAAACTTTCTGAACAAACCCGCTCTGAAAAACCCAACAGCGCATCGATCATTAAAAAAACAAACAAACGAGTCACCTCACAACAGATCGCAGGATGAAAATTGGATTTCGCACACAAGGTCAATCAAAAACGCAATTCCCAATTTATAAAAAAAAACTTTCGTTTTCTGTCTTTTCTCAAACCGGAACAAACAAACAAAAAAGCCGAACAACAAAATACCGTCTCATTCGCTATCTCGTTTTCCGCGATTTCCGATGCTTGCCGCCTCTTGACGACGACGACGAAGACGCGGAACCACGATCGAGCTTGTTTTTGTTCGTCTTTAGCATGTACACAAAATACGTCAGCACCTCGACTTCCGACACCTTCCACGTATTGAAGTGTTCGCTGACAATCTACGAAATGAATGGAAAAACCAATGTAGCCGAAAAAAAAAAATCCGAAACGAGCATCTCCCCGTTTTGTTGGGAAATAATTAAAACAAAATTCGCCTCATACTTTAATCGGACCATTCTCAGAGAAATTTCCAAGAATATTTTCGATTTTCCTTTTTAATGTATGGAAGTCTATTTTTATGTATCCCAGAACAATGATTAATTTCGAAAAATATCCAGATGTTTTATCAACCAATAAAAATACACATGACTATAAAAGTTGTTTCTTCTTCAGAGTTTTAGTCAGGTACTCAGGTCTTCCAAAAATAAGAATAGAATAATGTTTCGCAGCTTCAAGATAAAGAAAATAACAATGCAGAAATCCCGCATAACCTGATTTTCTGGCATGAAAAGGGGCCCAAGAAAGCAAAGAACATGCACAAATTTTCCTATACTGTGCACCGATGATGAAAAGAACTCTGAAAATGAGAAGCACAAAATTACCTAGTTTTGGATTATGAATTATAGTGAATTTATTATGAAATTTACTTCAAATTTTTGTGAATACTGACAAAAAAAGCTCAATTCACCAAAACTTCTAAAACTTTCTTTACAAATGTATACCCGTCCATGACGCGCATCCCATTTTTTTTCCTCCCAATTTTGCGAGAAATAAGGTGCGCGTGGTACTCGAATAAATATACGGTCGGTTGTGTGGGTGTGTGTGTTAGGCGACAACTTCTTGGGAAATTTTCAACATGAAACTAGACTCACTTGGGCAAGATGTTGCTTTGAAATCCCAGGCTGATGAGGAAGCTTAAAATGTGACCTGTAGCGCTTGAGAATGTGCAACGGAACTTTGGCCCAGTCAAACGGACTCATGGGGTCAACAGCTGAACTGGGACTCGGTCTGGGAACTGCGTTACTCGCTGAAGGCTCGGGATTCGCAGGAAGACTCACTGCATCCCCGCCGTTCGTCTTCACTTCGTTCTTCTTCCCCCTCTCCCTAATTTTTGCACTTTCTTGTATCAGGTTTTTGTGGTGGTCGCAGATATACAAATGCAAGCTCTAGAGAAGCGGAAAAAAAATTACAAAATTTAGCACCATTTCATCATTCGAAATTGACTTGAAAAAAAAGGGAATACACCTCGCGCGACACCAAATTTCCAAAAAGAAAACTCGTAAATTCCGGAAGACCAATTTTCAATTACTTTTTTTTAAAAAAAAGCTAAAAAAATACTCGTCCAACCTCCATAACATTACTAAATTGTACCGTTTACGCACTCTCACGTCCAAGAAATGCGGTACTGTTATTAAATGTCTTTGGCATACAATTCTACACAACTGCATTCTCAGGTTTGAACATTGATTTTCTAGCATCAATCAATTTCGGAGAAAATATACGTAGAATATTAATGAAATTTACAGTGCGTAAAATTAAAATTGAAATTTTGTCCATTACCAATGAAAAATTGTTTTCGCTACTTGGAGCATTGATGAGCACTGACCGTATTCACGGAAATAGAACCAACAGGGCGTTGGCTAAGGATTTGTTGGGTTTCAATGTTCTGCATTTTAATAATTTTTAAAATTTCAATCAACTACATTTATAGCAAATTTCGACGATCTTCCGCCAAGATTCGAAGCAAATACAATTTCTGGAATATTCAATGCAGAAAAAGTTTTGGACACCTCACGCAATTATAGATAATTAGCTCAAAACAAACAACAAATTTTCGAATGCCTTTCGTCAAATCAAAAACCGACGCCTTCTCAACTTCTCCAGAAGATTGAATTGCAGTAAAAGGAAAATGTTTCCTCACGGCTTTGTCAAGATGTAGTCGGAGGTTGTGCTTGAAAACGAGTTTCTGAATCCGTCGATTGTACGAAGCATTGCCCGCGAGTCGCCGACACTTCTTGCCTTTATCGAAAAGGCAACACACTTGCTCAGAACCGGCCATTTGCAGCGGTCACTCGCAACATTTACACCGGTCTTCACTCACTGGTCCCATTCCTTCAAAAGCAAATAATAATTTGGCCAATTAAATACGATATTATGCAATTTCCAGGGCGCACGAAGATCCACAAACGCGAAAGGATTTCTTCCTTTATCCAATCTGGCAATAAATAGATTACAAAAGTGGATGGAAAATAAACCCATGCCGCCAAGTATCCGTTCCCGAGAAGAAATTAAATCACTGATCGAATGAAAGAAATTCATCAGAACAAAAAAAATCACAAATTGAAACAGTTTCTTCGTTGTACACTCGACGAAAGAAACATACGAATTACCGTGTCAAGAAAACAAAACCATTTGGACGACGAGGCAGTACAACAATTGAGCTTATTCACACACCCATACCTTCGGCAGGCGTCGAAAAATGGCACGTTCATTGATTCAAGTAGCAAAAAAACAAAAAACAAATAAACTCAATACCTCGAACCAAAATCAATTTGATATCAGGAGGTCACGCTAAAAATGCATCAACATGCACAAATTCTACTTCTTTCTCCCACGAAAGAAAAAGGATGGATTTCAGATCCATGAGATCGACATCAGCAACGAAAAAAAAAAACGCTTTTCAGGTTTGGTTCTTGAAGTCAGAAAGGTCTTGTTCGTGGTCTACAATGACGTAGGTTTTGTTGCCCGCCTCGTCCACTGTCCATTTCCGGAATACTTTTTTCTTGTGAACGAGTTTGATGTGAGTTTTCAAGTTGACGAAAGTGATTGTTCGATGATCGCACATCGGACACGCATTCGGCTTCACACCGTCGTGGGCCATGATATGTTCTTCCAGCCTTTTCCTCTCTTATTACATAAGAATGAATAAATTGCAAGATTATTACTTTGCTCGACGGTACGAAGCACATTAAAGACCTCACCAATGTATTCTTTCCCGCACGTCGGACAAGCGTAAGTTTTCAATCCGCGGATCCCGTGGACAGTGAAACGATGAATTTTCAGACTGTCTTTCGTCACGAAGACTTTCCCGCACAATTCGCACGTATTCACACGACGATCAGCTGAAAAAGACAAATATTTTCTTGAGTTTACGAATTATAAAATTTGAAAAAATATATACCGCGTTCCAGAGGGATACGACCGAGCAAGAAGCTCTCACAATTCATAAGAACCGGTATTTTTTAATATTCCCCAAGTGAAGTTCTTTTTACATAATAAAATGAGCAAAATTCATTTCAAACGCACTTGAACGTGGACAACATACATTAGAAGCTCAGCACAGCGAATTTGAAATTTCGTATACAGATTTATTCTCTTCAAGACAATTTCATCTACAGCGACATGATCCTTGAAAGCAATTTTTACTTCTGTCCAAAAACATGGACACGAAGCTCATTCTCAAATAAAATTTCTAGAATTAAATTCTTTTGAGAGCTTCAGCGAGGAGTCAACCCTTCATCATGAACATAGAACAAAGCCTTTTCCCCAAAATTTTGAAAAAAAAGCGAATACTTTTGAATACGCTTCGTTAAAATATACTGTATTGTATTAGTTGCAGTTTCGAAAAATTTTACAGTGGGTCATTCAGAAAAGAGTAGCCCAATTTTAGACAGGCGGAAATGAAATAAAAGCAGATAAACTGAATTTGCGTTCAAGTGAATTTTAAATGCAATTAATTACTGTATAATGAGAGTCCTCGTGATTCATCTAGTTTAAAATTGGACCAAAATATCCGTGTCCATCGTCAACTTTCATCATCAAATTTCGAGCATAACCTGATAGTTTTCTCCCACTCGAAAAAAATATACCCGAGCCTTTCCAAAATTCTCAAGGAACACGGTATGATTTAAAACGATGCAAAAGAAACGATCAGAAATTCAACTATTCGACGAACCTTTGATTCCATGCACTTTTGCCAAATGATTCCTCTTGGGCGCGTAATGAAAGAAAGTTTCGTCGCATAATTCACACTTGATCCGCCTCTCCTTGTTGTGCACAGCTCGTACGTGGTACGAAAGACAGCCCTTGTAATACTTGCCGCAAACGTTGCACAATTTCTCAGGCTTCGGCTTGTGGTATTCCATGTGGTACAACAACTGCCGCTTCGACGGAAACGATTTATTGCACTCGGAACACGCGTACGGGGATCGCTTCAAATGCGTCTCGTTGATGTGCCACTCCGCTGTTTTCGCATTCAGAATATAATAATGCATCGACTTCGAAGGCAGAATTTTAAAAACAGGAAATGATTTCACGAAGGAAACTTACTGTGATGCGGAGTTTTGAAGAACAGGCCGCATTCTTCGCAATACTTCTTCCCGTACTCCAGTTTGACGACGTGTCTCGCCATCCGTTTCCAACTTGGAACAGAAACTATAAAATTTTCCCTCGCATTAAAAAAAATTTTCAATCCGTATTTGATTCGTTTGCTAAATCTTTCCAAAAGAAAATGAGGAACCCAAAACTTGCGACGAATCTTACACATTTTCAGCAATTGACTAGAATAAGTTACTGGGCACTTGGGCAGCGAGAATTTCGTAATCCACTCGAAAAAAAGTTTATTGGTCATCTAAAGCAAAGACAAATTGTTTCAGCATGGGTAGAAGTTACTGCCGATCAATAATGCATTTTCATTTTACATGAATTTATTTTTAGCTCAATCCACTTCTGGGTTCTTCCCAAATTTGTAAAGAAAAAATGAGGCACATTTTTCGTTCTCAAATTTTTCATCGCTGAAGCGTTTCTAAAATCTGGTCCTTCAATAAATTTAATAACATGGATCTGATGATTCTTCAATTGAACTTTCAGTTTGTCTGCACACTTGGCAATTCAATTGAACCTTGATAACTCAAACCGCTTCAGGTCGAATACATCGGTATGTAAAATTTTTTTAAGTCCCTGTCTGAATTCCCTCAGAAATAATACATGAAAACCTCCCCAACTCCTTCAAACCTCCTCAACTCAAATTTTCTGGAAACCTCTCAGCCATTACCTCATTGACGTAGGAAAAATAAAAGTGCAACTTGATGTGCTTTGAAAGAAAGTGTAAGACTAATTAGATCAATAAACCCTTGCCCCCAAGTTCAGCATCCTGTCAACTCATTCAAAAAGCAATTTAAGGCACAGAATATCACATATTACGATTCCCACTTTTTATTTTTTCTTCCTTTCAGAAAAATAGCTTGTCTTCCTATCTCGAAACCTCCACAACTCGAATTTTTTCGTTGGTCCCCCGAATTTCGACTTGAAGACGTTCGACTTAAATGAATTCCATGACAGTCAAGCTCAAATTCAAGAATGATCACTCACTTCTACAACGAGGACATTGAAACGGGGTTTTGTTATCATGAATCGCTGACGCGTGCTCGACAAGTTCCTCATCCGTGCGTCCCTTGAAATCACAGCCATCCGCACAATTGCAAGCAAAATTCGCTAATCCTTCAGGCACGACATGACTCGCTTCGTCAGAGGCACGATGGTAAATGTATTCTTGAAACGTGTCAAATCTAACCCCGTCGCATTCCAGGCACTGAAACGGAGAATTGGCGCATTCTCCGCCAACATGTGCAGATCGCATGTGGTCATTCAATCGCCTCGGACTGACGAAATCCACGTCGCATTCCACGCAGCGAAAATCCTTCTTCATGCACTTGTCGAGCTCTTCGTAAAACACGTGGTTCCGGAACTCGTCGGCGTCGTTGAATTTGGCGAAACAAAAGTGACACGAATGAAGTGAAGAGTCAGGGTGATATCGCTGATGATGTGACGAAAACTCTTTGGCATCCGGGGAAATTTGCCCGCAAATCCTACAGCGCCAATTCAACCACATGAAAGCACCGGGTAATTCTTTCGCGGGTTCGAGGTTGCCGTCTTCCTCCACGGCAGACTGGAAATCATCCGGGTCCTTTGGCTGAATTTCTTCACTCGTTACGCTGAATTTTTGCTCGTCGACGTCGTCCACGTTATCAGGGGCCTCAATTTTGGCAATGAAACCGTTGGAAGGATCAACCAAAACTTCGTGACTCGCGGGAACATTCAATATTGTTTCCACAGGCGGAGGGACGGTAATATCACTTTTCCGAGGTCGACCCCTTCTTCGCTTCACCACAACTTCTTCTTCAATGACATTCTTCACTCTTTCCTTAACCTCTCGTCTTCTCGACGATACTTTTTCGGCTCTGTTGAGACTGGCATCAATTGAAACTGAAGAGAAATCGTTTTTGCAGGCACGTCCGCGTTTCCTAGTCTGAATAGGCGGAGGATTATCAACACGATGGTTTTCTGAGATCGTTGATGGCTGAGGTGTGAAGGGTTTGAGCTCGTCAACAGCATCTGGCCACAATTGCCTGATGGCGACATGGATCTCGGAACTCCACAGTTTTTGGATATTCTTGTCAAGTTCTTTTTCCAGGCAGTCGATCGTCGAGACGAGACTCTCACATGATGGGCATAAGCAATATTTGCCTCGCGAGCTGCGAACAAAGTTAAGAAAAAAATACATGAATGAAAACGGCATACATCAACAGTGTATCAATCTTCATTTGAAAATGACGAGTTGAAGTTGAAAAACGTCACTGAGTGACTTTTTACCAGGGGTTCCGTTTCCTGCAATTGAGTGCTGATTCATGAAGATTATTCCGACGAAAAGCATAAAAAACGTAAGAATTTTAGAAATATATTTGCTGACGTTCATTTATTTATTCGCGAAAAGCTTTCAAAAATCTCACAGGCTTCGGTTTCTACGTGGATGAATTTTTCTCAGGCCCGCTTTCAGCAGTTATAATCAACAAACAAATTGCATAGCCTAGTTCCCTGCTTTTTGGCGAACTTTTTTTAAGAAAAAATCAGACACTAAAATTCCTTGAATTAGAAAAAGGTAATATCTGGCAATTTGCTTTCTTTCGATCTCTTCTCACGAAGATTCGTCAAAAAATAAATAGAATGTATGATCAAATACAGTCGAATCTCTTCAACTCGAACTTCAAGAGACAAACGAAAAACATTTAGTAAGGGAAAGAATCATAGGGAATTGTAATTGGCGATATTCTGGACTAATTGCTTTTTAAGTTCGTTGACAAGATGCTGGACTTGGAGGCAAGTGTTAATTTGCAAAATTTACTTTTTCCCTTCTTTTCAAAAGGTATCAAGTTAATCTTTTGGTGCTTTTTCTATTTGCTGCGTCAATAAAACACGTAATAGGTGAAAGGCCTCCAGACGTGAAAGGCCTCCAGAAAATCTCAGGTATGAAGGTTTGAAGGCTTTCCCTCTTCCAGTTATGGAGAGGGAAAGCCTTCGAGTTAGGGTGATTTTAATGCTTTTTAAAGAAAATTAAAAACGGACTATAAAAATTTAGTTTTGACTTAATTTTGAGGTATTTGACACAGAGAGGTTCAACTGTAAGGTATATGTAGTGTTTTTGACGGAGTGATGCGAAAGACTTCACAGAGAGGAGCTTGCAAATGAATAGAACAAACATGTCTTCTAGAAAAGTTGATTTTATAATTTAACATGCTGGAGGTGCCCAGCTGCAGCTGGGCATCAACATTTTCCAGAAGTTGCAGGATGTTGGAATTTCTCATCAATCAGGATCATATTTTATTCTAGCTTTACCTGACAAATAATGAACACATTAGTCTGCTGTACGCATTATCACGCTTAGACTTCCATTTGTCAGAGTTTTCATATTTTCAAGATTTCAAACATTTCAAATTGATCTTTACCTAGATTTCTCTATATATATTTTTTAAATCGAATGTTTTTTTCCTGGACCTATCTAGATCCAGATTTTTTTACGAACAGCAAAAAATTCCCACCTTTCCAAGGCTGTTCTCACGGCACTTTCCAAAGACTCGAGCTTTTTCGCCAACAGAGCAACGAGCCTTTCGAACACTGACGAGCCAGTCACCAGAGAATCATCATCGAGATCGTCACTTTCTTTCGAATAGCATCCGCACACGAAACAAAGCGGATCGAGAGGTCGCCCCGCTGACATGACGCTCTTCATAACTTCAATCACACGCCATTATTCTCCTCCGCACACTGAATCTCAATAACAAAACTCGTTCAAACGTTTCCCAAAAAAAGAAAGACCTACGGAAAGCAAAGGACAGACCATCAAAACACATCCACTCCCACGAGAATCAGACGAAAATAAATAAAAGCCGCTTTTCACAACGGTTTGACGGCGCAACAAAATCAAGAATTGATTAATTTCGATGAAAAAAAAAATAAATGAGAGATCATTCGGAAATTTCAGTGAAGTTGGTGTTGCCACTTAAGGCGTAACTCAGCTCTAAAATGTCCTGCGCATAAGACACCTGCGCAGACGGACTGTACAAAAGCGAGCCAAGCAACGACGCGTACTTCTCAAGAAAATCGACGTCCTCTTTTGACACCTTTCCCACCTCTACCCGTTTAGCACATTCGAGGAACTTCTCCTGGGACCGTTTCCACAATTGTACCATTGCGGAAACATCCGTCTTGCACCATTGACACACGTTGGTCACTGGATCCGGTGCGTAACACAGTGAAGTCATATAGGGACAACGAGAGCATTTGACTCGGTCCGGCAGCAATGAGAGCTCAAAACTCAACGGCCAATCACTAAGACAAGCTTTACAGGTACAACACATATCCCTCATGCGGAATTTGTCCCACAGCCCCCGCATTTTCTCAAGCATCAAAAGTTGCCTTTCATCCTTGGGAACCGAAGTATACTTGAATCCGTAGTTGGAAGACAGTTCGTCTCCTTTAGACAATTTCTTCACGCTCTTCACGAACACTTTGTCTCCCTTGAAAAAACACTTCACGTTCGGATCGCACGAGTGTTTGAGCAAGCTCACAGTGGGATAAAGCGCTAACCCGATCTTCACTTCTTCGATGCAATTCACTTTCCGGGAGCATTCGGTTATTGCCCGGGCATCACATCTCACAGATATCAGCAGGCAACACACCATTCGACCCAAAAACTCCAAATCTTCTTGAATAGTTTCATCAAAAGACCTGATGGCGGACAAACACTTGACCACGTACGCGGCAGTCATCAAACTCATGCTCCGATCTTCGAGCTTTTGGAAATACTTCTCTTCATCGAGGAAGAACAGAATTTTATTTTCGTATTTTCCAGCATCTTCGACCGTCAACGAAAGCAGAATTTCTCTCCAAGTTGTTACGGAATGTTTGAGCATTATCCTAAACACCAGGTACGCATTCGGCTTCAAGTCCGGATCCACGAAATTCTCCAGCACGAGGCATTCTATTCCATGGAACTGTTTCCAACCTTCATCTCGACACTTTTCGCTACAGAAACACACCTGCAAGTTCATATTCGCATCAAAATTTTCATCATCCAATACATTCAATATTCATTCGGAAAATTGGCTCACCAAAGAACACTGATCGCAAGGAACAGCAACCGGAGCAGGCATCAAACAATTCAGGCAATGGCTAAAAAACTTTGAAGGCAGCAGCACCGATGCACCAGGCTTCTCGGTACATAACAAAGTACCTAAAGAAATGGAAAACAAGTGGTACGAGACGCGAATTATACACGAGAACTCGAAAAAAATTGTTGATCCATCTAAAACAGTACAGTACGGCGAACAGTATGATTTGTCCTAAATACAATATACTGTATAAAAACCGGTCTTAAACCGAAAATGTAAAAAAAAAATTCGAGTTAATACTGTTCAACTTGTTACATAAATCGTAATATGTAGTATAAAACATAAATCGAATAACGTACCGTTTCGAAGTAGGGAAAATTCGAATTTAAAAAGCATAGATTTTACCTTCAGAATCCGGTTTATCCTTATAGCAGCCAGAACAGAATTTTTTTCTTCGTTTGTAAATGTGTCATAGGTCTACATGTTCGGTTACAGCAACTACGATACAACTTATAACACGAAAACATAACAGTCGCTAACATTCGAAAAGCAATGGAATTAAACACATTCGAGGAGTTCAAGTAGTTCTTAAAATATTCTCGGTACACCGTTTTTTGGATTACCCTTCACTGAAACAAGAATGTTTAGCGAGATAGAAACGCCGGATTGAGTTCTATGAATGAATTGATCAAATGCTTCATACGCAAGAGGCTCTTACAAACGTGAAACGTTTTTACCTGGTTCGAATTCCTCTTCGGCTTTGACCAGCCACGGAGAGTAATACATGAAAAGGGATTGATTTGGCCGAGGAGAAACACTCACACGTGAATGCAGCGGATAATAATTATAATCCTCGCCGGGAGGAGATTGGTACCATGATTCGGGAAAATTCACTCCCTTCGTTTCGTTGATTGGTGTTTCGACGCAAGCTTGCTGCCGACTCAACCGTTCTCGAATCTTCCGCATTTCAGCAAGTGTTTCTTCTCGTGATGTTCGCATAGCTGCTACTGCGTTCGGGTCTTTGAGGTAACCAGAAGATAGTTGAGCTGTAATTTTATCTGTTACTTTCTGGTAACAGTCTAGACCATCTTGCAGCCTAAATGAAGAAAACAAAGGGAATTTTTTCTTCAGCAACAACAAACCTTCTTCAACAAGTCTGAGAGAGACAAGTTTAAGAACACATGCACAGCACCACAGACACCATCTAAATCAGTGTTCCCAACCTTTTTGGGCCCGCGGTAAATTTCCATAAAAATTTTTGCAATCGGGATATTTCCAAAAATCTTTCTGCGGACCAGCTAAGTTCCATAAAACTGTTGCTGACTCAAAAAGTTTTTGCTTGCAAGACTTTATGGCCAATAATTATGCAAGTTTCTGCTTTTTTGCAGAAATTATGAGCCAATAAAGCAGCTGAAGTGCAATGTCTTCAAAAAATTAGAAAGGTGGGCTTGAAGATGGGTTTCTCAAAACAAAACAATTATTTGGATAGGTGAAAAGTTGTCTTAAGTGTTATAAGGAGAAAAGCCAACTTTTTTCATTAAATAATCTTGACTGCCATTTTCTTTCCAAGATTTCAGAGATAACAGATTTCGTTGCTACTTTTGATAAATTTATCATGAACATTTCCCAAAGACTGGCAAAAACTTCTGCGGGTTGGGGAATACTGATCTAAATCAATTGTCCATTTTTCAGTGGAACTTTGATAACTTGAATCTCCCCAAGTCAAATACCTCTCTATGAAGAATAATTTTCAAGTCCCAGTATGAATCCCCACAGAAACAACTAATTAAAAACATGTGTCACTCTTGAGGCTTTCCTCATCAAACCTCCATAACTGAGATTTTCTGGAGGCCTTTTGGCTATTATTCATTGACAAAGGAAAGAGAAAAGCAATACAAATTTAACTTGATGCGTTTAGAAAGGAAGTGAAAGACTTATTCTGCAAATGAACTGTTGCCTCCAAGTTCAGCATCATGGTTCAACTAATTTAAAAAGCGTTTCAAGGCCAAGGATATCAACAATTACAATTTCCTGTGATTCTTCTTTCATTCCCCAATATTAAATGATCGTTTCCCGAACTCGAAACCTTCCTAACTCGAATTTGTCGCTTCTCCTTTGAGTTCGGCTCAAATAGGCTTGACTATCGCAATTTCTTCGCATGAATTCTCACCTGACATGCAACTGAAAAGAGGCGTTTTAAAAATAACGGGAATTCCCAAAAAACAAAATCATAACTTCAACTTCGTACAATAGATAGCATCACGAACCTTCCAGATCGTACCAAACAAAGCCCACGTCGAGTTTGCAGTCGATAAACTAGGTCATCAGGATAACCCGCAGATTCGGCTCTTCCAATATCCGTCATGGCGTCGGCATATCGCTGCAAATGCAACAAGGCGACACTTCGATTCGCAAAGGCAAAAGCAAGGCATTTCTTCCCCCAAGCCCCGAACTTTGGTGCCAATTGAACGCAGCGGTTGTAATGGCCCAGTGCTTCGGAGTACCGCTGATTTTGGCACGCCTCATTGCCCAAAACGCGGTGTTTCTCGGATTCCCTTTCGGATTTATCATGCGTCACGTCGGGGAGAGGTACATTTTTTGCTCTGGCCCACATGGACAAGAAGGACGGAGTCGTAGTTTCGTCGTCCACTGGAATCCACGGAACGTCAGTTTTCACACGAAGCAATGCGTAGACAAACGGTTTAAACTTCCTTCCATCGACTTCAGCCATTTTTCACCGAATCTAAAAACTGATTTCCACGCGCGCAACTTTAGTAACACTTCACTCCACCACTTGATTCAGAAGTCACACTTCACCAGAAAAGAAGTCTCCGGAACTATTAGAACTCTTCCTTGGATTCTTTGATATTTTCCTCTCTGGAATCATAAAATATACAAATATAAATGAATGTAATTCAAAAACAGCATGCTTTTCTAATTCAAAACACGACCTTGTCTGACAAGACATCCACATAATTTATACCTTCACTAATACAATCCACAGGCTCAATACCAAGCTCAAAATTAAAACAAAAATCAAATGCAGTTTTTCACAATAAAAAAAAGTCGTCTTAAGTTGTTTACAAAATTTACAAACCATTGTGAATGGAATACTCGGGGGGGAAATCCCAGGTCTCATGATGAATATCATCAATGTTTATGATGCAACTATCCCTCAAAGAAACAAGTCTTGATCAGCAGGCTGACGTTCTACGCCCTGATGGCGTAATTGATGATCTTCAAGACGTCTTTTTTCTGTTGAAATATAAAAAAAGCAACACATCAAAGCTTGAAAGCTCTCGTCGAAAATAAGAATTTTTGCGAACCTGTATATTCCTTGCCGCATATCTCGCAAGGATACGTCGTCACACCGCGGATTGCATGAGCAGTGAACAGATGAGATTTTAGATTCCCAAGACAGGCGAAAGTCTTCCCGCATTCCTTGCATGTATTAGGATACTTCTCGTCTAAAGAGAGAATCAAAATTTACAAAAATGGCTAAGATTAAGGTCATAAGCGAGATCTCAAGAAGTTCAGATTTTTATGCATTCATTGAAGATATTTGCATGGAGTCAATTTTTTATGTCATAAAAGGAAAGATAACGGTAAACTTGTAAATCTTTTTTTTAAAGCGGATTAAATGAAAATGGCAATCTCAGGAATTAAATAAATCGCACCACATGTCAAGCAAATTTAGAAATTCAATTTTAAAATAAACTTTTGTGTGTAACGTTGGCCAATTTTAGCGGGAATTTCCTTACTGAGAGTATTTTCCTACGAGAAGGAATTCACTGTCATTTGTTGTAGAAAAGTTGCTTTCAGAAGATTAATGCTGGATATTTCATCCTCGTATGGATTTTCAGAAATGTTGCGCCACCATTCCCCATTTTTTTAAAATACTGTAATAAATTCACATACAAATAAAAACAAATCGTACCTCTGACCGCATGAACCCGATCAAAATGTTTTCTCTTCGAGCTGTAGTACAGGAACCTCTCGTCACACAATTCACACTTCAATCGTTTTTCGCGATTATGAAATGCTCGTACGTGATGAGACAAGAATCCCTTGACACATTTGCCGCAAATCGGACACAGTTTGTCCAATCTAGGCTTGTGATGCTGCATATGCCGCTTCATAAGATGTTTGGAAATGAACGTTTTCCCACACTCTTCGCAAACATGCGGAGACCGTTTCAGGTGAGTGATGTTTATGTGTCTTTCAACTGGAAGTATTGAAAAGCGAAAAAAATTAATAAATGAATAAATACGCACATTCAAGACTTGAAAAATTAAAATTTCATTTAGAATGTTATTACCTTGGTCCGAGTCCTTGAAGAATATTCCACATTCATCACAATAGCGTTTTGGATTGTATTCCAGCTCAACAATATGCCTGGCAATACGTCGGAATGTTTTCTTTTCACCTTCAAAAAATGACACAGCAAAATATCATCAACACGTTTTATAACCCTTCTTTCATTTTCAGTTCTTCAGAATATTAAAAAAACTTTAATCAAAGCATTTTTTGGGGGTTAATGTCTGGGAATCATCGAAAAAAATTTGAAAAACGAAAGTGACTCTGACTCACATTTACAACGCGGACAAACGAAAGGCTTTTTGTTGTCATGAACTTTATCAGAATGTTCCAACAACTCCTCCGCATTGCGACCCTTGAACATACAACCGGGTGTGGTGGCACAAGAAAAGACCTCCAAAAACTCGGGCACCACATGATTAGGATGATCTCCAGCCCGATGATAAATGAATTCTTCGTAAGATTTGAACGGAAGTCCGTCGCACTCGTCACAACGAAACGGCGTCCACGTGACTTCTTCCATTGAACTCTGGTCCGCACCTTGATAAAAAGAAATAAAAACAATGAAAAACCTCCATCTGAAAAGGAAATTGATCATGGCTTCCTAGAACTTATATTGTACCACAGTTTTTGAATAAGCGAACCTGACAAGCAAGAATACGTTGAATGCGAAGAGATAATATGACCTTGCGCACGAATCTTCTCAAGTATTGACGAAAACTTGAAGCTTCACAGGATATGCAAAACGACATAGCATTTTAAAGGTGGCATGCCGTATTTACTCGAGTTCCACGCGTCCTTGAGTAAGACAAAAACTGAAGGCATTCAGCCAAAATTGTTGATAAAATCTTATCCGCAAGTAAGACGCGCTTCCCATTTCAGTGCCTCTAAAACTGCAATATTTCAAAATTAGAACACCCGAATTTAAATTTAGACAGGGATTTGGACCTACATTCAACTAATTTTCCATTGTTTCCAACTTTGCATTCCAATGAGTTTTCCACTAGGTTCGAAATTTCCCGTCAAAATCAAGTACTCTGTACAGCAGAATCTGTTTACAACATCGTTATGACAAATAATCGACAACAACAAAGTCGTTTTTTTAGGTCCCGCCCTATAGCCATACTGTTAAGACTACTTAAGAAAGTTCCTTCATAACGAAATTGTTGCTACCGTGAAGCTACAGTACTTTACTGGTCCTGATAGTTTCTTTGTGAAGAGATTTTACTGTATAATCCATACCTGAACTTCTAAAACTTTTTGAAAAATGACAACCCGCCTTTTTTTCCTGAATGGAAGAAACGCGTACCCCCTTTTTTCCTCTCGAATATGACTAAAATGTACGCGTGATACTGTACTTAGAGAAAATGCGGGTATCTCAGGTTGAGTACAACAAAATATGCGTAAAAAAGCTCAGCTTCGGCAAGTAGAATACAATTTCTTAAATAAAAAATAGTGCAGAATATAGCAAGATCCTCCAAAAAGCCAACGTTATCCCTAAAGCTAATCCAATCTCAGCGCTGAGAGGAGGACGAAACATCTTCGCATCTGGAACGCGGTTGAGTTATTCAACTCAATTTACGAAGAGGAACAAAAACGGGAATGCTGAGATGTCCTCGATACACAAACCCCATTTAAATCACAAAAAAAATCCCTGAAATGAATCAATCGCTTCTAACCATGGACAGTCTGCATATGTACATCCAGTCGCCTCGGGTTCAACAAGTCCACATTGCACAAGCAGCAAATGAAATCCTTCCGCACAGTCTTCAACAGCTCCTCGCAATAGACGTGATTCTGAAATTCCTCGGCGTCGTTGAAAGAAGACAAGCAAAAATGGCACACGAAGAGAGCCGCTGGTTCGTGGTGCTGCTTGTGGTGATTAAGGAATACTTCGGGATTTCCAGCCTGGTGCCCACAGAGTCGGCACTGCAGTTTGAACCACATCGACAAACCCGGCATGTCTTTGAGTCGATGTGAACCCAGTTTCAGGGTGATGCCGAATACTTTGAAGACTTCCGAATTTTTGTCCGTGTAGAGTTGCATTCTCGCGGCGGATTTCAAATCATTCGATGACCCTTCCGCTGTTGCACTTTGTTCTTGGGCTGAGTCATCTTTCAATTGCCATTTCTGCAGCATTTCGGCTTCGACTGAAGAAAATAAATGAACGAAATCTCGATGCGCCAAATTCCATCGACAAAGAAAAAACGTACCTTGTGACGCGTGGAATCGTTCATAATGTTTCTTCTTCGTTCCATAATACAAGAATCTCGCATCACAGAATTCGCATTTCAGACGCATCGCAGATGCATGGAATGTGCGCACATGTTCCGTCATAAATCCTTTGACGAGCTTTCCACATAATTTACAAGGTCTCTCGGGACCTTCTGTCGTCTTGTGTGTCAACATGTGTCGAACGAGAATTCTTTTGCTGGAGAACTCTCTGCCGCATTCGTCACAAATGTGGGAAGAACGCATCGCATGCGTCATCATCTTGTGTCTTGCAACTACAAGAGAAATTGGAAAGAAGAAAAATGAAAATTCGCTCCACATGAATTCATGCGGAGGAATCGAACACGCACAGCGGAAATCGAGCCAACAAATATTTCAGGTAAGCCAAATGTACAAAACATTTGCGGTGACCGTAATCCACGCAACAAAACCAAATTTAAACCTCTTCAAGTCAAACTTCAACAGACCAGCGGATACAAATGAGTTAAGGAGGTTTCGATTGCGGGAAACTATCATTTTTGTCGGAAAAGAAAGAATTACAGGAAATTGTAATTGGGAATACTCTAGGCTTCTTGAATTAGTTTACAGGATGCTGATCTTTGAGGCAACGGTTCATTTGTCCGAATTACTTCCTTTCAAAGCGCATCAAGATACATTTTTATTGCTCTTCTGTTTCTTGCAGCAATAAAATAACAGCCAAAATGCCTCGAGAAAATTGGTTAGGAGGTTACCGGGGAAAGCCTTCAAGTTGCAAAAGTTTTAAATGAATTTTTCCTCAAGAGACTTCTTACAGGGACTTGAAAGGTTCGAGTTATCGAGGTTCAACAGTGATTTCCTAGTCAAATCATGAATCAAGAGCACCTTTCCGTTTAAAATTTGGCAAGAAAAAATTTACAAGCATCACAAAAAAATTAAAATTACTGTATAATTCAATTGCACGGGAAACTCTTCAAATATTTCCACACAAAAATCGATGTTCGCGTTTTACTCGGGTACACAAGAACTTACGGTAATTACCGTATGTTCAAGTAGTAGCTAAACGACACGAATTAAAGCTGGAAAGCTAAGCATCTTACAATACCCGACAACAAAAAACCCTCTTGATTTTTCCGCCATCTTACAAAATCTCAAAAATGTAAACATAATTCTTGTTGTCGGTTCACAATCACGTTTGTACAGGATACAGTAGATTAGGTTACACCAAGTTAGTTTTAACTAGGCGAAAAAATCGAGAAAAAAACTTGAGAACAGTAAAAATAAGTTAAGAATAAAAAAGATAACGGCATTTTGGAATGTACAGATTTCTTGGGACACAATTCGCCCACCATCGTATTTAAACTTCATTCGTACTTACTTTGTTCAGAATCCCTGAAAAATTCGGCACATTCATCACAATATCGTTTTGGACTGTACTCGTACTCCACAACGTGTCTTGCAGTTCTGACAAAGGATTTCTTCGCACCTGGTCCCAAAAAAATCAAATACGCATGAAGAAAATTGAATTTTCTTCTTTAAAGTTGTCAACTCACATCGACAGCGAGGACAAAATATGGCATGTTTCGTCTGATGAACCTTGAGTGCGTGCTGTAGGAGATCCTCTTCCGACCGACCCTTGAAATCACACTCTTTCGTCACGATGCAACGGAAAACCAACGGGAATTCTGGCACCACGTGGTTCTCGTTCACCGAAGTCCGATGCACAATGTAGTCTTGAAAAGTATCAAATTCGATTCCGTTGCATTCGTCACAACGGAACGGGGAACAATGTTCGGGTTTCACAACCCCCGGTTTCACGATCGCGAATTTCTTATCATTACTTTCCAAGCCCTGGGCGTGAGTGTCTAATCTTCTCGGATTGGAGAAATCCTCGTCGCAGTGTTTGCAAACAAAATCTTTCTGTTCGCTTTTCATGATCTCCTCAAAGAACACGTGATGCTGGAAATCCTCCGCCTCGTTGAACTTCATGAAACAGAAGTGACACGCAAACAACGAATCCGAAGCGTGATGCTCGTTGTGATGCGACAGCAAATTTTCCGGATCTTTGCACTCCGCTCCGCAGATTCTGCACCGGAATCGGAACCACATGGACAACCCAGGCAAGAGTTTGTACTTGTTCGACTGCGGATTCACCGTGAGACCAAAGACCTTTCGAACCGCCAGGCTGTACAAGGAACGCTTCGAGCTATCCGATCCCTGATCCCCACTCACACAAGGATCCTCATGCTCGTCATCCTCTTCGGAATCGTCGTCGGATCCCTCATCAAACGCTTCGACTACAGCGTCGAACAATGATGACTCGTCATTCTGCTGCTCCTGCTGCTGCTGCTGCTCCAACTTCGTCACTATCTCGTCGAGATTCGCCGCATCTTCGTCAACCGTTTTGTTTCCAACGCTTACGCTTCTCCGAGTGCTTCTTCGTTGCGGACGAGCTGGCGGGACTTTTTTGGCAGCCACAGCAGGAGCTTCGTACAATGAATCCTCGCTGTCTTCTTCACTTGACGAACGCTTCCGCTGTTTCACACCATTCTTCTTCGCTGATTTCGGAGGTCGACCTACGCGTCGCCCAATTTTCTTCACCGGCGTTACAGTGGGCCGAGTTTTGCTCCTGGTTTTGCGAAAATCATCCAAGGCAACGACGACCTCTTTGGTTTCTTGGACAGGCAAATTCTCAATCTTGACGATAGGTACTGTCGCAGTGGAAGAGCTCCGAAGGGTTGAAAACTGATTGAAGTTCTTCTCCGCTTCAACTTCCAGAAAATCGATGGTGTTCACCAATTGGGCACAAGCAGCACAAACGGTGGAGCTGTGAAAAAATTTTGAAAATTGTAAAATGATGGGAATTTTGTTGCGATAATCCAAAATAACACATCACGATGTTTCGACATTAAATACTGTACAGTACTCCGGAAACTGTAGGATTACGGAATGAAAACTTTTCGTAAAAAAGGGCTGATGTGCGGAACTATTACCCAATACAGTATTCTTCCATTGTATTCTAATGCACAAAAGATGCATCAATTCTAATGGAAATGGTCAATCCATGCGCAGAATTGGTTTTTGTTTTGTTTTTGTACTGGAAATTGCCATCGACGATGTCTCAGCGCTAAAATACATTCTTTCTAATGTCTGGGGAAAATGATCAAATGTTGCCAGAAAAATTATAGGTCTGCCGTCATCTAGATACATTATGTAAGAAGTCTCCAACACTCAACACGTTGTTGTAACGGTACTTCTTGCAACATGATTTTACTGAATTACAGATTTGAGAACGAATCCCTCCGAAGAAAGCGTACCTCTTCATGTTTGCCAGAGAATCAGCTTCAAGAGGGCCAGGAACACGCAGAATAAGCTCTCGGATCTTGTCGGCCATGGCGATGCCGGAAGCAGGAAGATAACATGATTCGACAGACGTCGTTCGGTCTGCGGCGAGACCGCATATCATACACGCACCACGAGTCAACCCGAGTTCAAGCGCTGGCACAACGAACACAACGGGAACGTTGTGTTCCATGTCACTGCGACACCAATCCACAAACACCTTCGATTTAAAAGACAACAATTATACTGTAATACGCGATTTCATGTTCAACGAGCTCTGCCGGATCAATCGTCACACAATCCACTCACGACTGAAAAAAACCACTGAATTTAAATACGGACGACTGTTCCCAAAAAAATTAAAAACAGCAACAAAAAAAAAAAGCTACAAATCGAGCTGAACGTCGGCTGCGACAATAGTGTACGATTTCTGGCCAACTTCGTTCGTATGCCACACCCGGTTCACGTTCAATTTATGAACGAGGCGAATGTGTGTTTTGAGATTCTTGAATTCCAGAGTTCGATGATCGCACTGAGGACACGCATGCGGCTTAAGGCCATTATGGCTCATTTCGTGCACTTTCCATTTCTGTCGACCTGAAATGTGAAATTCAGAAATTAGCGCCACTCTGCACAACACTCGCCAAAAGAACACGTAAAAAAAAAAGCAGAGATTTACGAGCAACGAAAAAATAAAACGGGTATAAAAAGATCAAGCGCACTTTAAAGCAGACATGACCACAGGAAGTTCCAAAATTTAGCTCCGATACTTTGCTTGCTTCTGATACTCACTATTTGAAGACTTCTTTTTCACTATTTGATTTTCTAAACGTTGAAAAACAATTTTCAACATTACTCAATTATTTGAACTTCGCGTAGTCATTATTTAAAGATTTCTGCTTTACAAGTTGAAAAAAAAATTTCAATACAGTGCAAGGAAAAATGCATACTTGGAAACTCCTTGTTGCACATGCGACAAGTATGAATTTTCAAAGAACGCTCGCCATGAACTCGAAAACGATGAGACTTCAGACTCGAAATGGCTGCAAATTCTCTTCCACAGGTTTCACATTTCAAACCTTGAAAAGGAAAGAGAGAAATTTCGCCACGAAAACCAACATTCAACAGAAATATCAGCATGAAGACTCACTTTCCCCGGTGTGAACTCGTCGTTCGTGATACGTCTTGACAGTGTAATATTTGAACCTCTCGTCGCAGTAAGAACACTTGAGTCGATATTCTTTGTTATGAACCGAACGAATATGGACAGACATCGGCTGGCTGTTGATCGTTTTCCCGCAAATTGGACATAAACGATCGTCTTTTTCCTTGTGATATTCCTTGTGAGCTCTGAGCTGATAGTTCGAAGCGAACTGCTTCTGGCAAATGGCACATTCATATGGTTTCTTCAAAACATGCGTTTCATTCACATGTTTTTCACCTGTTGTTTTCCACATGAAAATACCAATGACGTTTAGCATGAACCATTTCAACACTTCCACATTCATCCGGTTTATTTTTCGCTTGGATTCCGGAAACTCAAACTACTCGTATATTTACATATGTTCATATGCTTGTCTTCACTAGAATAAAGTAAAACATTAGAATGTCGTTACAACGAATCGCGTTACCATGTACAGTATCAATGATTACAGAAAATTATCTTTGATCCCTTCCCAATAGCCCAAACGCTTTTCAACTTTTATTCAAGAGAGATCCCGAATACTTTGTTGCGATGAGATTTTACTATCCATTATTTCTGCCTGAATCTCAATGTTCTTCGTCAATTTCAATCACGTTTGTAATTCAGGCGAAATCGATCACATTCCAGAGAGTAAAGTCGGGAAATGGAGTGGTTAAAACCGATTAAGCCTCAACTCACGTAATCCAGCATGTTTGAAAGTGATTCCGCAATCTTCACAATAAACACTTGGAAGATATTCTGAGAATTTCAGATGGAACGCAATTTTCTTGAATGTCGGTCGCGTCGCTGAAAAAAATAGTCCTTCAATGAGCACAAATTTCGAAGGTAAATTTTGCCCTTCTTCCATTAAAAAAAAAGCTAACCAAGAGATGAATAGAATGGAAACTCACTCCCGCAACGAGGACATTTGAACACAAGCTCAGACTGATGAACCAGCATCAAGTGAAGCTTCAACTCCGCTTCCGAGCGACACTTGAAACCGCAGCTGGATGCATCGAAAATGCAATTGAAGCTCCTGAAAAACTCCGGTTCCAAGTGGGATTCAAATTCCCCAGTCCGATGCAAGATGAAATCTTGATACGTTCGGAACTTCAGTCCCCCGCATTCGTTGCACTGGTAAGGCTTCACAACCACGTCTTCGCCTTCATCGTCTCCTCCGAACCCACTCGAGTCATTCGGACCATGTTCCGACTCCACGTGGCGATCCATAACGTGGGGTAACGAGAAGTCTTGTTTGCACGGGAAACACACGAATTCCTTCATGGCCCCCATTTCAGTCTCTTCAAAAACGACGTGGTTTTGGAATTCTTCGGCATTTTCGAAACGCGCCAAACACAAGTGACACACAAACGGAGCCAATCCCGCGTGATTCTTCACGTGATGTTCCAGGAATGTTTCGGGGCCGTCAGACTCGACGTGACAAATTCGACATCGGAAATTGAACCACATAAACAGACACGGCACTTTAGCAGCCCGCAAGGAAGTTATGCGTTTCTCCCCACGGAAAATACTGTTCATGGTTTGCATTCCTTTCTTGAACGATGTTTTCCGTCGCGCGTTACTCGCATTTGGTGACGAAGACGCAACTTCTTTCGGAGATGAACGTGTCTTGACACGTCGTCTTCCACGCGTGGATTTAACTTTATCCCTTCCAGAAGAAGCATCCGACGGTTTCTCTTCAAGCTGCACTGCACTTCGACCTCGACGAGAAACCCGCCTGTTTTCTTCGCCCCAATCAGGGTCTTCTTCTTCTTCCCCATCCCCGGAGTCTTCATCGAGTTCTTCACCTCCACAATCAAAATCATGGTCTTCTTCTGAGAGTTTCACCTCCAAATTTGAATGCACATCGTCAAAATGCTCAAAAGAATTTTCTGACTTCTTGTCCGACTCGGGTATACAAGGGGCAACTGATTTACCCGGAACCGGTCTCACAGCCCGACAACTTCTTGTCTTCGAATGCTTCCCCAGGAAATTCCACACTTTTTCGGTCAAAGCAGTCAATTCTTTCTCTATGCAATCAATCGTGCTGACCAATTGAATGCAAGAGAGGCAGACGACGGACCTGCAAAATATATTCAATGAATAGCTTGAACTTCAGGCAATAACTTCAGTTTCAAAGACAACCAGAAACAATTGTACAGCACCGTGGAACCTCTTTAAATCGAACTTCAAGGAATCAGAAAAATAAATGGAGTTAGGGAGAAAAACATTTTTGTTCGGGGAGAGAAAGAAGGATCACAGGAATTGTAATAGGTGATATTCCAGGCCTGTAATCATTTCTTACAGAAGTTGAAAGGATGCTGAACTTGATGGCAAGAGTTTACTTGGCCAATTAGTCTTTCACTTCCTTTAAAACGGATCAAGTTGACTCTTCGCCGCTTTCCTCTGAAGTACACTTTATTGAATTTTATTATTTCAATAAAATAATCGCCGAATTGCCTCCAATGCGAGTGCTGGAGGTTTGAGGGGGATGCCTTCGAGTTGGGAAGGTATTTGATATATTTTTTATTAGTTTAGACAGAGACTTGAAAAAATAAATTGAAACGGGGAGGCATTCGACTTAGAAAGGTTGAGGTAATCTCGGATGAGCTTTCCTCAATATTTCGCCGTTTTCGTGAAATACATTCCACCGGGTTGTCCTTGAAAATTAGTGATCTATTTTTTTATGACAAAGAGGAATTAATTTTTTTTTCACAAAAAAGTAACTCTTGTCAAGGGGTATATACGTTAAATACAATCGCAACGAGTACTTGTAGACGAATTCCACAACTTTTAAAAATCCCTCGCACATCAGCAAGAAGAGCCAACAACAGATTTTTTCTTTCAAACACGCAATTTCCTAGACTCGATCACTGTACAGTATTTGCTGCCATACAAGCATTATTTTGAAGGTTCACAGTATGTGAGAAAATTTGTGGATGAATTTCTTTCAGGTTAACAATTTCAGTTTAATTTAAGCATGGAATGAAATTCAAGAGAAGACAGCACAAAATTACACAAAGGCAAAGTCAATTAAACGAAGAAGATAAGGACTCCCAAGAAAATAGATAAAGGAATTTTTTTGATCAAGACATAAACAAATATAGACTAGAATATTTCTCACTTTTCATCGAACAGTGGTTTGGTGTCATCACAGTCCTGTGCTGATTTCCGCAACGCAAGACCAATGATTTTCTCGTGAACTGTCTGATCAGATCCAGGCAATGCACATTCCTCGGAGAACGCGGTCTGGTCCGATTCAATCCCGCACAAGAAACAACACCGACGTACATTTTCCACACACACAATCGGAACACGGATCAACACTTCAATCGTTCCACTTGTCATTTTCCATCCACGACTGCAAAGAGCGCCTGACTTACATCGATAGTAATCACATACTCCGGTTCGGTGTCATCTGCGGACACATAAAACGTAGCTTCTCATCAAAACCAACGATATAAATTTTCATTCAACAAGTTCATCATTGCAAGGCAAGCAATTACAGTACAGAGAAATACAAAGATAAAATTAAAAATTCCACAATTCATCAGATTCGCAGTGAAAAAAGGCAAACAATCTTTGCACGCCAATGAGTCGCATCAGTCACGACACGGCCTCCGGCACATTACGCTTTGGTAAACCAGTTGGCAAACGTTCTTCACACACCAAAGAATAGGAGCGAGTTCCCAGTTCGTCGGTATGCCATTTTCTCGTCACTTTCTTCTTATGCACAAGCTTCATGTGAGTTTGGAGGTTCACGAAAGAAATTGTTCGGTGGTCACAATCCGGACACGCATGCGGTTTGACTCCTTCATGACCCATCTGATGCTCCTCCAGCTTTTGCTTATCTGGAACATGAAATATTGTGTGTAATTGGTTCTGGCTCATTTTTGCACTCCATTTTCTTCTTGTGATACGATATACAAGTATAAAATTGTGAGATACGCACACGGATAAAAATGATAAAACCAACAAGCCAAAAACATAATTTAAAAAAAAAGGACCTCATTGACCTTCTCAAGATCCTACCTTTTTGAAACTGGATAGGTTCAGTACTTTATTGATGCACGGGTCTAACAAAAGTTTCCAGATATAAAAATGGCATACAGTCGAGCAAAACAATTGTTGCTCAGAAAAAAATCTTCAGCACAAACAAAAAAATAAAAAATCACCCTATTTTGATATACAATATTTTTGGAATTTTTTCAGCAAAATTCACCCTGGCAGCATTCTCCTCTTCACTCAAAAGATGAGGCAACCATCTTGCAGATTTGTTGGTATAGGGCCAAAATGTGGTGGCAGTTAATGTGAGAAAAAGAGATGTCGAACAGACAAACTCACAAAGCTGAAAAATGTGATATAGAATGGATGTGAAAACAGAAAAAGGAGTGATTGAATTAAAGATATGAATCGAAGTTCTTTTCGCAAGAGTGAAGTGTTGAATTTATGAATAAGAACTCAATGAATCAGCCGGGACAAAGTCCTAGTTTAAACGAGTTGTATTTTTCTTGACGACGAACACTTGGTCAGAATTTCAGAATTCGGAGTTTTGCGAGATGAAAAGCTTCTCTGCTCGGAGATCTGCTCAGGTTCACAATTCGAATGCAAGTGATGAAAATCATGCTGAATTTGGAAAACAGGAAAGGAGTTGCTGAAGGACGCGGATTAAGAAATCTATTCCGAAGATGTCCTTGCTGGGCCTGGGAATCGAACTCGGGTTCGGTTCCCAGGCTCCAGCAGAAGCTGTTAGAAATTTTCGGAAAAGACGATCGTTTTAAATTAATCTGGCACCGAATTGTCGGCATGCCGAAGTTTTTTCCAACATAAACCCCCCCTTTTACTTATTGAAACAGCTCAGAGAGGTCGTTTTGAGAAGTGAAAGTGGTAGAAAAAACGAGGATAAATAGGGTAGGATTTATGAGAGGCAGTTAGAACCGAGGCAATTTGCTGACATATGATCGCAAAAAACATCACAAAGTGCACTAAAGGCTGTTGTTTCTCGAAGTTTCCAGAAGGTTCGAGGTTAATGGTCTTGTTTTGCTGGCTCTCGCTGACGATTCTTGACTCATTGGTTTGACTCAGTCTGGGTGCCGATTTGTTGAGGGTTGAGTCAGAGGGAGCCACTGTATATAGTCCTTTGGCTGTGCTGTTTTTGCATCAGTGTTCGACAAGTTTGCTGAGTGTCCGGTTCCGGTTGTCCTCTCCCTTTTTAAATTCTTCAAGTCGGAAGAGTGGTTTTAGTTGTCATTCCTTTTTTAGAATTTTCTCTCTGTCAGGGATGGCCAGTCCCATCTAGGTTGAAAATTTTCACAAGTGAATTGAGAAGCGTTTTGCTTACGAATTTGCGTGTTGTTTCGAGATCGAGTGAAGATGAATTTTAACTCTGCGTTTTAGCTTACGGAATTTGCGTTTAGTTGAGAATTGAGAGTTAGTGCTTTGTCAGCAACGTTTCGCTTTTGAATTTTTGTTTAGGTTTTCATTCAAAAAGTGCTTTTAGGTTTTGCGTTTTGCTTTTGAATTTTTGTTTAGGTTTTCATTCAAAAAGTGCTTTTAGGTTTTGCATTTTGCTTTCGAATTTTTGTTTAGGTTTTCATTCAAAAAGTGCTTTTAGGTTTTGCGTTTTGCTCTTCAATTTTCGTTTAGGTTTTCATTCTATTTGGTTGGTGCAGTTTTGTCAATGGGACATGCAGGTCCGCATAAGCAGTTTTGAGGGGACTTGCCGGTCCTCTTTTCTTGCAGTTTACGGGGACTTGCAGGTCCGCTCTTGTCAGTATTTCATTGTGTATAATAGCTAGCCGAAGCTGCGCAGCCTTAAGCTAGTCTATTTGCCATAACTTGGCCGACTCTTTGGATAGGTAGTTTACGCGGACATACCAGGTCCACTTAAGATCACAGGGACAGGCCTTTTTCCATTTTGTTTTGTTCTCAGTGCCAATCTTAGTGATCTTTTTGATTTCAACAGTTTCAGTGGTTTTTGCTAAGGTTTGATTGTGCAGTTTTGTCGGGACTTGCCGGTCCTTCTTTTAGATTTCATTAGATTCGGGAGAGTTATTGACGTTCGCATGCGCAGTTATGTCAGGACTTGCCAGTCCTTCCTTTTTTGCCGATTTGGCCAACAATTCTTGTTTCGTTTGGTTTGTTTCAATTTTGATTTTCAGTTTCGTTTTTCTTTGCTTTTGGATTGAACTTTAGGAGATCTTCACACTGTTTTGTGGGTATCGGTGTGTCTTGTCAGTGAGATCTTTTATCAACGGGATTTATTGTTTGATCAACAGAAATGGCATCATCTTCCTCCGCCGCATTGGCTGACAACAAACATCAATTCAACGACCCTTTGGGTAAGTTTGCTATTGATTGAACATAGTGCTTGGTCACTGAATATTGCTTTTGAGAAAAAATAACCTCCCCTTTTTGAAATCTACAGTCATTGACGAGGATACTTTGGATTCCTGTACTTCAACTGTGGCGTCTGACAAGGAGCGGGATATTCAAAACGGCAATGACAATGGTCAATTTCCCTTTTTATTCAGTAAATTTTTATTTTCAACTCGTGGTATAATTTCCTTTTCTCGACACGTTTTGACTTGTTGTCCGATTCCTCTTTTCTTTTGAATTTACTATTTTTGGTCTTCAATTCGTTTGCTATATCTTTTACTGTATTACAGAGGTGGAAATGTTGTCTTTAGACAATGGAGATACTGCTGCCGGGTTGCTGGAACCTCAAGTTTTGGACACGTCCAGAATTTCTCTTGATCTACCTTCTACTTTACAAGAGCGGGCTTTGGAACTTCAATCATTGACTGTTGAGGAGTGGGGTCATTTGCTTGATCTTGCGGATGCAGTTCACAAAAGATCTGTTGCGTTGTCAGTCAAACGGGGAGTGGATTCTGACACAAAGAAGTTCAAGGAGAGATACTCCAGAAAAAGATCCAGGCTTGAGTCTCTTGAAGAGAGCATATCCAAATTGGATTCTTGCTGTGAATTTTTGGACAAGAAACGGAAGATGAGCAAGCTTCATGGCGTGATGTCTGCTTTTGCTGCGTCAGAAGCGGAAAAGTTGCAAAGAATTTTGATCAAGATTTTGCAAGAGTTTGCTTGCTTGGTCTCTCTTCCTTCTTGACACGCCTTGATGGCTGTCATTTGTTTTGGTTTGAGGAAGGACCCAGTTGTTCTTTTTCTGCTGAGGGTAAGCACTATTGGTTTTAGCTTTAATCGTTGCAGAGTCTTTAAAAATTTTCGTCTAATTAAACGTTTGTCTTCTTGTTTTCTTTGAATTTTCTCAGATGGCGTGAAGGTATTGACATGTGGTTCGGGACCTTCAAAGGTAGTCATTTGGGTTGGATCAAGGGAGGATCTTCAAACTTCATATGTGCAAGTCAACAAGATTCCGGCAATTCCTTCTCCGTCTCAACCGCCTCCTTGTACTCCAAGTACATCTCGTCGCTCGGTGCATACTTTGTTGGTGCATCCTCTTTTGGTTCCTCCTACTGCCAGTGGATCATCTGGAGGTCGTTCAAGCTCGTTTGAATCTTCAGGGGCTGCAGCTGCTGAGCCCAAAATTCAAGTGTTGGAGCAGATTGCTCCCGAACCTCTGAGACTCATCAACTACATTGGATTTGGAGCTAGTGTTGCCAGTTTGTCTCGGGAATTGTCATCGGAGGTCCCTGCGGATTCTCCTCAGCACCAGGCTTTTCAAGTGGCGCATGCTCCTTTGGCGGAAGGCCTTACTGATGGTTTGTTTTCAAGTTTTTGTTTTGGCAAATTTTATTGAGGTTTTTGAGCCTTTTCTTTAATAAATTGTTTTGTTCCTTTCAACGTTCTTTCAGATGTTTTGAGGCGGATTTTCTGGAGCAGGAGTTTCATTCCGGATGACAAGATTGCCTTTAGAAGGAACACTGCTGTCAACTTGGGTCTAACCCCAAAGCATGCAGAAACAATTGGATCTGTCCAGCTCCTGATTCCTGGGTGTATAGTTCAAGACTGGACTCATGGGACGCCGCTATTTCTGCACCGAGGTCCTTTAAAAGGGATGGGGGTTTTAAAGAAGCCCAAGGTTCTAATCATAAGTGACTCACTGATGGCGTACATTTGCCTTGCTCTTGGTCCTGAAACGTTTGTCACCAATGTTTGAGAGGAGAAGGCTTCGTTACGACCAGTTTGCGATTTCTCTCATCTGTTGGAAGATCTTCCAATGCATGTTTATCAGGTATGTGTTAAGCGGCTTTGTTAAAATAATTTTAGATTTTCTTTTTAGGTTGGAGAGTAATTAATTTTCAAGTAAGAGTTTAAGCTAATCATGACTTCCCTTTTCTTTTCTCTTTTTTGTGGTCAATGAGCGGGTTGTCCTTTGGATTTGGACAAACTTGGGGTCCTGAGGATTTGAAACGGTGTATTTATGCGGACCTTTGTTTGGATCTTTCCTTCAAGTTTACGCATATTTTTATTCGGCTGGGGACAAACGACATAAAGGTGTTGGTTTCGGAGATTGAGGATTCGCCAGTCTCGAACTTCTCAGGATTTATGGAAGTTTTTCATGAGTTCATGTGTTGTGTCTCCGCTGTTTTTGATGCCACTACGTTTGCCTTGGGAGCCTCTCCTCCGCCTCCTTGTCCAAAGGGCGGATTTATTCATCCGGAGATCCTGATGTCTGCTGACGGAATGCCTTCTTCCCCTTTGAGGATGAGGAGTGGAAGCTGTAAGGTGCCTGAAACGGAGCGCCTTAATGTGGCATATGCTTTGTTGCGGGAATTTTGTTGCCGCCTGATTCGTTTGTCTGGAGTACGCCAGCGAGGCACTGGTTGCAAAGGATGGTTTTCTGTCAC